TTTTCTTGAGGTGGATGAATGGATTCGATGAGGCATGGCAAGGGATGAAATATGATTTAGATGGCTTATGTTATCAGTGGGGCCGCTGGGCTCCAGACATGTTTCCACCGGGATTTGTCTCTTTTCCCATGGGAGACTTGCGGAGACAGCGGCAGTGGTAGGAAAGGATAGAAGTGAAGCAGTCGAAAGTACCAGAAAAAAAAATGAACGAAAAGCAAATGGGTTACTGAAACTTCCACTACCTTTTCTTCGCCGGATGGGCAGCTCGGTGCTCTCATTTTGGAGGGCAATGCGAGGGGAAGTTCGAGTTCACTTCTTTTGCTTCAGGGCGTTGGCAAGGAGGGCGGAACAACGTCGACAACGACAACCAAAACCCCAAGTCTCGATGCTTTCATCTGCTTTGGTTTGCTTTACTTGCATCTCCTACCCATTTCCATGCATATCCCCCTTTCCCCTTTCAATAGACGAACTAATCTCCTTTTTTGCCCTGAATGGATGTCTTCTCCAGTTATTCGAGTTGCGGCTGGCTGGGTGGGTAGACATGCGTGTGTGATTGCATTTTATTTTCTCTTCCCCTCCTTTTCTTTCTTTGCTGCGGTATGGATTGGGATAGGCATAAGGTACGCTTTTTTGTAGAAAGAATGATGATTTATCATGTTGCTATGCATGGGTTTATACATGCTCTCCTCCAAGGAGTGAATCGTGAAATATTCTGATGTGAAACGACATGGAGTGCGTTTGAAGTCGCATATTATAATAGATGCTAAGTTTAGTCTCAGCACGTGAGGTGAAGCTATACTTGAACGATTATCTTGGTGAAACTGAGTCATATACCTCCTTTAGGTGAGGTGAGGATGTAAGTGAGAGATTACGTTCTTGCCTTTTCCATGGGAGCTTGTACCTTCCTCGATATCAGAGATACAACTGGTCGAGAGTGAGTTGGACACCCTGAGATGACCAAATTAGGGAGTTTAGTATCTTTCCGAGCACACAATGTATTTCCACCGTCATCACTCGCATTCGCAAGGACTCACAAGCTCAAGACCATTAGTTTTTGGGATTAACTTTGCATACTACCTATTGTATGTACCCAAGCCCTATCTCATCAATATCGTCCAAAGTCTTCCATTTCCCCTTCTCTGAGTCGAACATCCCACCAGCTCCACCTCTCAAAATTGCAACCTAAAAGTAGCGACCTCAAAAGCCCTCACCTCAATCTCCACACTCCCAACCTTTCCCATGCCCATCTCCCTCCCCCACTCCTCGAGCACTTCCATCTCTTCGCCATCATCCTCAAGCAGATTCGTCTTCCATACCCTCTTAACCGGCAAACCACCCCATTCCAACTTGCCCCTACTTTTGCCGCCCATGCAATCGTACACCCGAAGCACAACACTCTGACCCTTCCTCTTGGGCAAATATCCGCGTGACACGTCCTCGTCATCCTCGCCACGCTTGATAGTGTCGAGGATGAGGTTATCAGCACCTGCAATACGGAAAGAGGAGAGCAGTGGAGCGATGGAGGACGGGGAGGGGTGAGACAGGACACGGACGGGATTGTTGAAGTTGTAGGCTGTTTTGACTGTGGTTGGGGAGAGGGGGCCGGCGTGGGGGAGGATGGCGTAGCGGATGTGGTGACGGCCTGGTGGTGGATTTAGCTTCGAATGATTCTGATAGAGGAAAGGGGTAACGGAAAACAAAAGAGAGCTACTTACCCATATCCGCATGCCCATCAGGAGCCTTGGGAGCTCTCAATAAACTCAACCGCATCACGTTCCCGCAAGTCGCGAACCCGTACTTCGAATCGTTCAGAATACTGACGCCATAGCCGTTCTCGGAAAGATCAGCCCACTTGTGGCAGCAGACTTCGAACTTCGCCATATCCCACGTGGTGTTGTAATGGGTTGGTCTCCTGATGATACCGTACTGCGTCTCATAACTTGCCTCCGTATTGACAATGTCGACGGGAAATTCGACCTTCAGGAACCTCATCGACTCGCGCCACTCAACTTCGCTTTCCATTTCAACGTAGGAGGGGCGTCCCGCTTGAGCGGCTTGGAGGCTGATGGTCGTTTTGACCCAGCTGTTTTCGCTGACTTTTGTCTCGGTCACTACGCTGACCTTGTGGGCGTGATTGAACTGGATCGAAGTCTTGCTGGAGGAAAGTTCTTTCCTGGAATCTAGATGGTAGACTTCAACATCCCACGCCTGCCAATACAGCGGTTTGTCGTCAAAGATTACCAGCTGATTCGCCTTTTTACCTTTGGGGATTATCTCCCTCTTTTCGGTCTTGTCGTAAAGGGAGGTAATCACACCGTCTTCGACCGTTACGGACAAATCGTCATTGGACAAAACGTAAACTCCTTCTTTGGTCATCTGGATGCTCGCCCGAGATTCGGTAGGGAGTTCGATCGAAGTTGAATCGAGTTTCATTGTTCCCATTTGGCCTTCGGCCGCGAGGGCAGGCCATCCAGTTCTACCCACCGGCACAATCTCTGACCTGTCCCAAGGGAGAGTGTTGAGGGCCACAGGCGTGAAGTCGGGGGCCAATGGTGAGTCACTGAAGCCAAGTGCTTCGAGTGCGTCAAGGATGAGCTTTCCGCCAGTTTTGGCGACTTTCTCATAAAGCTAGGCCAGAGTTAGCACAAGTTTATGCTTTCAAGTCAATAATCACCCACCTCGTCTGAGTCGTCGTAGCACATTTCTATCGAACTTCCCGGCAAGCAGTCGTGGAACTGACAGAGCAGCACGTTTTCCCACATCTCGTCGATCTCCGCTGTGGGGTACTTGTAACTGCTCTTGTGACCCAAAACGGTCTTTTTGATGGTCGCCATCGTTGCCAGATACTCCAGGTCGTGCAACATGATTTCCGACTGCCGATTATTCCGCTTATTGTTCGCCTGAGTAGTATATGTCCCACGGTGAAGTTCGAAGTACAGTTCGCCATACCAGGTGACAAAGTCCGTCCCTTGCTCCGCCTTCTTCTCAAGTTTAGCAAAGAAGTCATCGACGGAACCTCCCAACTTGACTCGAGGCAAGAGCCCGACATTGTCGCTTATTCCACGACAACGTCTAAGCTTCTCGACTTGTTCCCAGGTTGGTCCACCGCCGCCATCCCCTTTACCGAAGACGAGCAGAGAACTGGCATCCTGATCAAGGGACTTGTGCTGGGTGACACTCCGTTTGACATCTCCGAAATGTGCCTCCGCCGTGTATGTCTCCGACGGAGCCATATGGCAGAGGACTTGACTATTGTCCAACGCAACCCAGTTGAAGGTTGTGTGCGGGAAGTTGTTGATGTTGTTCCAGCTCAGCTTCTGCGTGAAGAATCTTGTCATGCCGGCCAGTCGACACAATTGCGGAAGTTGTGTTGAGTAACCAAAAGTGTCTGGCAGCCAGAACGTAGTACACCTCTGACCAAAACGGCTTTCAAAGAACCTTTGTCCGTAGAGGAACTGTCGCACAAGAGACTCCCCACTGGGCATGTTGGTATCGTGTTCTACCCAGCTCCCACCAATGGGCTGGAACTTTCCTTCTTTGACGTGCTTCTTGACGCGGTCAAATGCTGATGGGTACAAAATTTCTAACCATTTGTACTGTTGCGCCTGAGAGGCACAGAAGCGAAGCTCTGGGTATCGATCCAAAAGGTCGCACTGATTCGTCCAAGATCGGACGACCTTCCGCTTCGTTTCCGCCCACGGCCATAGCCAGCAGGTATCAATATGACAATGTCCAATGCCACTGACAATTGCCTCTTTGTCCGTGTCGTAGACCTTGGAAGAGTCTACTTTCGTGCCAATGTACTTTTGAGCAATCTTCCGACCTTCGATGATGGACTCCTCGCTTCCCTCGCCGGCGATGAACGTATCCATGATTTTAGTACAGACCTGAAGAGCTTCATGCGACTCCCACGAGTCCCCGGGAAACTCCCTCGCTGCATCTCCAATGATCCAGAAGTCAATGTTGAGAGCCCTGGCCTCGAGGTTCACAGCCAGAATCTCCGCCTGTTGGAGTTGAAAGAATCGATCTTTCGGAGGTGGCTGGATGATATCTCCCTGAGCATTTCCGAACATGCTATTGCAAGCCATTTCAATGTAGAACACATGCTCTTTGCCATCTCGCCATTTCTCGGGCAGTATCCACTCTACTCTCTCTCCACCTCCTGTCAGTCCATGTACTGGATCCCCGTCTTCGGTCCAGATGAGACCTTCGTTGTTCGCATCCCAGTGAAACTCGAGGTGTTCCTTGTCTGCCAGAGACGAAGGAACGGTCAAGCGGATCTTGAACCAGTGTGTCGCCCAGCTGGGCCCAAACCATTCGCCAGTCTTGGTAGGCCTGAAGTCATGGGAAGTGGCTTCTTTGAACGTCGGTCGAGAGAGGTCAGGGGGCGAGTAGACGGAAAGGTCGACATGTTTGGCGTCTGAGGCCTTGCCTTCGTACAGCTTCCTATGAATCTGTCAACACCAATGCATGGCGATAGAGTAAAGGTACACCAACTCGAGAAGACCCTTTGACCGATACTGTCCACCACTGGTGAATTGCCTTAGGCGATCGAGGTAGATGTTGTGGATCTAGAGCGATGGTCAACAGCTGCAGCAAATGGCGACTCGAGGGAACGTCATGCCTGTTTGCCCACAGGGCCAGTTGCGATCTTTGGATACGAAGTCGAGCTCGACAACTGCGAGTCTGAACGAGTGTCACCACCCATGTTTGGTATCCGGGTGATAGCACGCGGTTCTTAAGGGAGCTGGCTGGCGGGCTGTAGTAAAGCGATAGGATATGCAGGTGGTTGGTCGACAAGGACAACGTCAGGGCGAGCTCCCCGAAGCTGTCCAGCTGGGAGCTCGTTCCTGCAGCCCCCGCATCGTCGGCGTTTGAGAACGTCCGATCTAAAAATAAGCGATTATTCTTCGCGCATTCCGCGCTCGTTCTCACTCCGAATGCCCAAAAATAAAAAGATTCGATGTCGTCCGCTTCCTGAACAGCAAAAAGACAAAAAATGGCGGTACTGGGAATCGAACCCAGGCTGGCACGGGATTGCAGACAGGGGACCACAACGTGACGTCATACCACTAGACCATACCACCGGCTTGACAGTTGGCAAAGTAAAAGTTACGCAATTTATAATCATAATACCATTGTAGGAACCGCACTCGGTAAGGTCTTCATCTCTATGTTGACTTTCGTTGCTGTCAGATGTGCCAGGATATCCTCGTGGGATTCGATTGTGCAATTTCTGCTGGCATTACGTTATGATTCAGTGGATTGGCTGTATTGCTGTGATTGTGACTTTGATCAAGAATCCATTGTCGCGGATGGACCTCGAGTTCCATCAAGTCCCACGAGACAGGAGGACGTCCGGGAAACCACCTCACTTCTATAATGGTGCGCTTGTGGATACTGCTTCGTATGAACGTAATTCAAAGTCTATGACGTGAAGAAGGCACTCCAACCGAGCTCCACAGGATATATCTGCTTCCCCTATAGCACAAACATTGATGTATCGAAGAGCTTGGGATTCGAGACACTCAGTCGATCTTTACCTCCCAACAAGCACCCCTTACGTTTAACTCGGCAAAAGCTGACTGTCCGAATGGGTTAGCAGAGTATATTCAAGGTAGGTATGAGTTCAATCTATGTAAAATGATTTTTTGAGTTTCCTAGCCGCCCAAATGCTCAAATGCATGCAAAACCCGCTTCCAAAAAGGCTATCTATCCGCCATGCTTCAAATGCGCCTTTGCTAGCCTACGCTTTCCACGCTGTACATCTCTGCCAATAGTCTACAGATGAAAAAACCTTGCCCACTTATGTGCAATCCCATTTTGCCAAAGGCCAAGATGCGGCATTATACCAACCACAATGCTTCCTGCAAACCAGTGCTCAAAACGAAGCCGAGTGCTGCTCAATATGGTCGTCTTTGCTGGTCAGTAGGCTTGAAGACGCCTGTTTGACCTTGCTGGCGTGCAAATGCTGCTGCTCCATATGGCTGTTCAGTCGCAGATTCTTGTCTGGAAGTCTGGTTAAGACTCTGCTGCGGTTGATACTGAGGACCCGGGCTCATCGGATTCGACGGATATCCATGCAAAACGCTATATGGAGAACCTTGCTGCCACCGTGGGCTGTTGGTGTGAATTTGAGCAAGACCAGGAGTGGCTGCTCTGTTGTCCAAGACCGGAACAAACGGAATGCTGCTCTGGGATGTACTGTACATCATCTGTTGCGGGAGTTGCCTCTGTTTATTCGCCTGGCTAATTCCTTGCTGTACTGCTGCACCACTGTAGCCGTATTTCATGGCTTGTTTCTCTTGTTCGCGAGCAGCAATGGCGCCGACAAGGCCGGTCGGATTTTCCAATTTAGGAGAAGAGGGAGTTCGTCGCCCTCCTACATTTATCTGCTGCAACAAGGGTGCACTTGTCAAACGGGGAACATGAGCTCCATCGTAGGGAGACGAGTTCGAGGGCCCATTCAGGTACTGAGATGGACTCGGCGAAATACGTCCGTGTTCGTAGTACTGCGGCACGCCTGTAAAACGTGGCGGTGTATGCTCGCCTTCACGTGAGGAAATTCTTGGGGGATATATTAGGGCATTAGAAGGGCTTGGAGTTCCACGACCACGCGAGATAGGTCGGTCAAAGTAGTCTGGTTCGAGATTTGGGGTTTGCGGCGAGACCTTCCTACCACTCAAGGGACTCGGAGTTTCACGGCGAGGCTGGGTAACACTGGCGAGATGGGACCAATCACGAGAAGCAGGACGTGAGAGAGGTGGAGTCGCAGGAGGTGGAGCTTGGCTTGGAGACCGATTGAAAAGCTGTCCGCTACTCGGAGATGGGTTCCGGTTGGGTTTGAGGGGCGAGGGACTACTGGTTGACGATTTATTACGGGCATGGGCATACATTGGAGTGTTTGCGATCGCGGCTCGTTGCTGAACCCATTCTTCAGGGGTGAGTGTTCGTTTGTGGTCGCTTGAGACCATGCCTGGCTGCCAAGCCATCGTCCTTGCTGTGTTTCCATCGCTGGATGATGAGTCGAGTCGCTCACTGGCGTGAGTCTGCTTGAGCTTTTCTGCCGAGGGCTTCTGGCCCGAATTGGCTGTCTTTGGCAGTAGCTTAGGGCCGTCCTCTCGTGTCCTCCTCTCCCCTCTGTCAGGAGCATTTGCCGCCATAGGGCCGGAATCAGTACTTGGCATGTCAGTAGTTTCGTCGTATTTAGCATTTGGTTCTGGGGCGCCTACAGTTCGTTGCACGCCATCACGTGAATCTTCGACTGATTTTCTTGTCATGGACGGATCCTGTTCTGAGCCTGCCGTCGTATGCCCTGATTGACCAGGTGCCGATGGGAGCGGTTTACGTTGAACACTGAAGCTGCTCCCTGATCGTTCAAGTGGCGGAGGTGGCATGGCATTCACTTGCTGAACAGGAGTGGAGGATTCGCTGTGTTCTGGCACGGTGGGACCGGCGGGTTCAAAGTACGAGCGTTTTGGGGATGGCTCGACTTGATCGACATATGGCGATGCCGGGATCGTGGGAAGCCTCGAAGTTGGATGCCTGTTCTTCGCACTGAACATGGCCTGGTTCTGGTTCTGGCTCTGGTCCCAGTAGCCTGGGGGCGCTCCAAGCAGATCGGCTTCGGATTCATTGTAGTCCGTTACCATTCCCCTCTGACCTCCATTTTCTTCCCATCGCCTGTCGTAGTCCCCTGGCTGTCCACTCAAGCCACTGGGAGAGCCCCTATACGGTAGATCTTGGGGAGCACCGCCTGCATACATCATCCCATTTGCATCCTCGATCTGCGACAAGGTCGCTGCATCAATCCCTGAATGAGCACGGCGCAGATCAGAAGGCACATTAGGCCGAAGACTCGGCCGCTGGCTAGGTGCGTGAGTGAATGCGGGAGGAGCTGCAACTGCAACAGGGGGTGGCGACGCAGCAAACGACCGAACCTCAGGCATTTGGTTTTGGTTGAACGGGATTTCGGACTCTGGGCTGCTCTTCCCTTCCGATGCAGTATCAAATTGATCAGTTGTTTCCGTGCCTGACCTTTCGCGGGTCGTGGCGCTACCGAAAACCGCGCCATCTCGGTGGGGAGGCGGCCTGGGAGGTGGCGTTTGGGTGCCCATAGTACCCATTTCAGGTTCGTACATTCCTCGAGCTTCCATTTCTCTTTGGTAGGGCTTGCTGTAGCCAGTTGCCTCTGAAGCTGACCGTCGGTGACCAAGAGCAGGTTGTCCTCCTCCAGGTGGTGCAGAATCAACACGTTTCGGAGGGTCAAACGTGTTTTGGAAACCAACTTTCCGGGTGAGGGAGTTTTGACGCGAAGAAGGTTGGGATCGTATGGAGACCCCATCTTCGAATTTGACACCATTTCGCGAACCTGGGAGGCTGGCCCTGCTGGTAGTGTTGCGTCTAGAAGCGCGACTGGCGCTTCGTCCCCCGTCCATCTGAACTGCACTCATCCTCTTTGAGGTCAGATCCTTCATCTGTTTTCGCCACTGTTTCTCACTCCATGTTTGGCTTCCAGTTGTGTGGATCAAGCCAGAAACGTCGAGAATCTCGAGGTATCCATAGCGTCTATCTTTTGGAAGAGCAAACATGAGTCCCCTCGTATCAAGAACGTCGGCGATAAGGCGCTGCGGTCGCCCGTACATGGCAAAGACGTCCCACAATGGGAAAAGGAATCTGAGCATTATTTCGAAACCCGACACTGCCGGATGGACTTCTGGCATGACGAACACGAATCCTTCGGTGGAGCTGTCAGTCTGTCCATGAATCGTGATATTCCCTTCCACTTTGACCAGGGTGGACTGGTCGATCAGTGGTTTCGATTGGGGGTAGATGGCATACGCCGAGTATGCGTCGGTGATGGTCGCGATAGGCTGGGTTTTCTTCGTGACGCGCCTGGTGTCGTAAAACTTGACATCCCCTTTTAGAATTGGTGTTGACCGATCGTATGGATTACGCTTTTTCCTGGTCTTTTGCAGTTTCTGGAATTCCTTCTCGTCAGGCGGCGTCACTACGCACCAGCACCGACGCCACGGAGTGCCCGCCCCGAATCGCACTCTTGCCCAGTCTTCCTGCTTGAACTTTGTACGATCCATAATTGTCCGGATATTGTTCAAATGCTTGCCCTTCCCAGCAATCAGAGAACCCGTGTAAGCTTCCTGCAGAGTGGCGTGCTCGTACATAGCGAGGCGAATTCCAGCCGTCCACTGAGTAAGAGAGTTGAGGGAGTTGAAGTGGAAAAGGTAGCGGTTGTTCGCGGCTGTCGATATGCTAAGGACATTTTGAAGGGATTGGCCGGCTTGCCCATTCATGGGAAGAGACTCGATCTAGTACTCCAGGTCAGCGTGCAGTACCGAGTATTACGAATGGGGATCTAACCATTTTGATGGAGGCATCTGCCAAGTTGATGAACGTAGGCACAACTTCACCATCCTCTCCGGCCGCATCAAGATGGGCTGCGTCCCAAAAAGAGAGGATTGTGCCAACCAGTTGTGCAAAACATTCCGTCCATGTCCGATCTCCGCTGGGTCTGCCGCCTGTGAAGGATCAGGTCAGTAAACGCCCTTTCCATGTCATGGCAGACAATTACATACGTGTATCCAAGTCATGCAGCTTCAGGAAATAGCCCTCCTGATACAATTTGTTCGAGTGGCTATTCAGGAAAGTGAAGATAGGCTGAAGTTCTGGGAGGGTGTCTTGGGCGACCTCCATCAGTGGAGGCTGGTAGGTTTGCACCATGGAAACTGGTCGAGAAGAAGGTCGCGAGTCGGCTCTCTTCCGAGCTTGGGCAGTGGGCGTCGGCGAGCTCTGGGTGTAGTGTTCCAGCACGGCGGCTGTGGGTGAGGCTACGTTGTCATGAGACCGACGCACCGGAGAGCCCGGGGTGGGAGAAGACGTGTACTGGGCGTCAGGAAAAGTCGGGGATGTTGGTGAGGGTGGAGGCTGTGACGACCAGGTTGAAATAAAAGAGAGGACTGCAGTTCGAGCAGAACGCAAGGGGGTCAGTACAATGTGACGGCACGAGACCATGGGGATGAGGAATAGGAAAAGATTCACCTCGGGAGCGCGGCATGATTGCAGCCTTTTC